ACAACCCACAGAATGAGAGAAGATATTTGCAAACCACCTATCTCACAAGGAATCTATAATCATAATATATAAGGAACTGAAACAACTCTATGGGGGAAAAAATCTAATAAGCTGATTTAAAAATGAACACAAGATTTGAGCAGACATTTCTCAAAAAAACAAAAACAAAAACACATGCAAATGGCAAACAGGTATATGAAAAAAGTGCTCAACATCATCGATCATCACAGAAATGCAAGTCAAAACTACAGTCAGATGTCATTTCACCCCAGCCAAAGTGGTTTTTATCTAAAAGACAGGCAATAATGTTAAAAGCAACTGAAAAAAGCCACAGTAACATTTGTGCCAGCCTAATAAATGCCAGGGAGGATGTGAAGAAAAGGGAACCCTTTACACTGTTGGTGGGTACAGCCACTATATAGAAAAGTTTGGAGGTTCCTCAAAAACTAAAAATAGAGCTAATATGTGATCTAGCAATCCCACTGCTAGGTATATACCAAAAAGGAGGGAAAGCAGTATATCAAAGAGTTAACTACACTCTCATGTTTATTGCAGCAGCATTCACAATTGCCAAGAGTTTGAAGTAAGGTAAGTGTCCATCAACAGATAAATTTTAAGGACACATGCACACGAATGTTCACTGCAGCACTGTTTACAATAGCAAAGACCTGGAACCAACCCAAATGCCCAACGATGATAGACTGGACAGGGAAAATGTGGTACATATACACCATGGAATATTATGCAGCCATCAAAAACGAGGAGTTCACGTCCTTTGTAGGGACATGGATGAACCTGGAAACCATCATTCTCAGCAAACTGACACAAGAGCAGAAAATCAAACACCGTATATTCTCACTCATAGGCGGGTGTTGAACAATGAGAACACATGGACACAGGGAGGGGAGCACTACACACTGGGGTCCGTTGGGGGGAAATGGGGGAGGGGCGGGGGGGTGGGGAGGTGGGAAGAGATAGCATGGGGAGAAATGACAGATACAGGTGAGGGGACGGAAGGCAGCAAAGCACACTGCCATGTGTGTACCTATGCAACAATCTTGCCTGTTCTTCACATGTACCCCAAAACCTAAAATGCAATTAAAAAAAATAATAATTAAAAAAAAAAAAGAAAATGTGGTATGTATACACATTGGAGTACTATTCAGCCATAAAAGAAGTGAGATCATGTCATTTGCAACCACATGGATAAAACAGGTCATTATGTTAAGTGAAATAATCCAAGCATAAAAGGAGAAACTTCATGTGCTCTCAGTTGTTTGTAGGAGCTACAAACTAAAACAATTTAACTCATGGAGATAGAGAGTAGAAGTGTGGTTAGCAGAGGCCGAGAAGTGTTGTCAGGGATGAAGGAAAAGTGATGATGGTTAGTGGGTACAAAAAAAAAAGTTAAAAAAAAATGAGAACAATCTAGTATTTGATAGCACAACAGTGTGGCTATAGTCAATAATGATAAAATTGCACATTTAAAAATAACTGAAAGAGTATAATTGAATTGTTTGTCAGACAAAGGATAAATGCTTGAGATGACAGGTACCCTATTTTCCATTATGTGATTATTACAAAATTCATGCCTGTATCAAAATATTTCCTATACCCCATAAATATACACACATACCATATACCCATTAAAATTAAAAATAATAAGCAATAAATAATTCAAATATTTTATCAAAAGCCTTCTTCATTTCTTTCACAGCATTTCTTTTTGGTTCTTTCTCAGAATTTCCATCTCTCTGCTCATGTTGCTCATCTGTTCTTCCTTGCTGTCTACTTTATTCATTAGGGTCCTAAGCATGTTAATCATGTGTGCTTTAAATTCCTGGTCTGATCATTCCACCATCCCTGTCATATCTGAAAGTGGTTGTGATTCTTGTTCTCTTTTCAAACTATTTTTTTTTCTTTTATTTTTAGTACATCTTCTAATTTTTTTCTTGATTGACATAATACAATGGGTAAAAGGAACTGTTGCAAATAGTCCTTTAGTAACATGGTGGTAAGGAGGTGGGGAGAGTGTTCTATAGGCCTGCGATTATATCTCAGTCTTTTAGTAAGTTTGTGTCTCTGGACAGTGAACTTCATACTTGTTTTTTCCTTATCCTCTTAGGTGAAACAGGAAGGCTAGAATGAGCTGACATTGTTATTTCTCTTCTCCCAAGTGAAGACTAAAGGGGTATAGTTGAATATTTTCATTCCTCAGCTCAATTAGGTTTTGATAATGCCCCAGCATGTTAAGCTGCAGCTAAGACTACAGGAACACACCACCACATTCAGCTCATTTTTTTATCTGTATTTTTTGTAGAGATGGTGTCTGCATGCCCAGGATGGGTCTCAAACTTCTGGCCTCAAGTGATCCTTCCACCTCAGCCTCCCAAATTTCTGGGATTGCAGGAATGAGCCACTGTGTCTAGCCTGGACATCCACTTAAAAAAAAAAGAGGTGAATCTTGACACGGATCTCATACCCTTCACAAAAACTAACTCAAAATGGGTTACAGATCTAAATGTAAAATGCAAAACTCTAAATATGCTAAAAGATACCATTAAGAGAAAAAATTTAGATGGCCTTGGATTGGCAATAATCTTTTAGGTATGACAACAAAGGCACAATTCATGAAAGAAATAATTAATAACCTGGACTTTATTAAAATGAAAACTTCTGTTCTGGAAAAGACAATGTCCAGAGAATGAGAAGACAAGCTGCAGGCTGGGAGAAAGTATCTGCAAAAGACACATCTAATAAAGGACTGTTATCTAAAATATACAAAAAACTCTGTACCTTCCTTCAATTTTGCTGTTTACCTAAAAGCGTTTTTTAAAAATTTTCTTTAAAACTTTTTACAAAAAGTGATAATAGGGGAAAAAAATGGCAGATAGAAGGCTGGACTATCTTGCAACTCCCACTCAGACTGAGAAGCATGTGAAGACTCACATCGTGACCTTTTGCTCCACGAACTACCACAAGGAACATATCAGAAAAGCCAAGAGAATCAACAGATCCTTTGAAGGAAGACACTTGGGACTGCAGGCTCCATGTGACAGTTGAAAAGCTGTGAGTGCCCAAAGTGTGTAAGGGGGAAAGTTCACCTCTGAATATACATCCTCACTAAGAATCTGAAAGTCCAGATCACGAGAGAAGGATCTAACCTCATCTGGAGCCGGGACAAATTTAGAGGGCTAAGAGAAATAATAAAGGGGTAGAGGAAGCAGTGGAAAGAGCCCTGTGGGCATTCTTGGTCCCCAGGAAAGCCACTTATGTCTCACAGGGATCCTAGTAGAGGGCTACCAGTGGAATTGGGGAAAGACCACAGGGAGAAGGAAATTTCCAGCAGCATTTTGTAATGGGGTGAACAGGAGTGGAGGTATAGCACATTAATCCATGGCAGGCAGGCTCAAAACCTGAAAGCCCTGCTTGCTTTCTCAGCAGGGAGGCTTGTAGCCTGAAGCAAATTCTCAATCCCACTCACCTGCTGCCTAGAAATAAACTCAGTACTGTTGCTGGCCTGGAAATAAACTCGGTACTGTTCCAGGGCATGGGGATGAGGTGGGGGGAGTGAGACTGGCCTTTCAGGCTGTGTGGAAGCTAGATGAGGCCTGTCACTGCTGACACCCGTAGGACACAGCAGAGGCAGTCATAAACCCCCTCAGAACATAACTCCATTGGCTGGAGAACCACATGCCCCTTCCCCACAGCAGTCAGAGCAAGCCTTGTCCAAGGAAAGTCTGAATTCAGACATGCCTAACACTGCTCCCACCTGTTGATCTTTCTTTACCCACCCTGGTAGCTAAAGACAAAGAATATAACTCTTTGAAGCTCCATGGCCCCACCTACCACCTGAGAAATCCAAATACTTATCCAGGTGACCCTAGGGCAAGCTTGTATCCTCCCTATATTACTACAGTTGATCCTCTCTTAAAAGTGCCAGCTCCTAGCTGAAGGCCAACCAACACAAAATGTGTGCACTAAACAAAACTACAACCAAGGACAATCACAAAGTCCACTTCATTCTCCTGCTATCTCCATGAGAACAGATGTTGGTATCCATGGCTGAGAGACCTGAAGACAGACGGTATCACAGAACTCTTTGTAGACACTCCCTAGTACCAGCCTGGAGCCTGGCAGCTCCACTGGGTGGCTACACCCAGAAGGGAAATAACAACCTCTGCAGTTTGGCTTTCAAGAAGCCTCATCCCTAGGGGAAGGGAGAGAGCACCGCATCAAGGGAACACCCCCATAGATAAAATCAAAATAGCAGACCTTGAGCTTCAGAGGGAACATGTGAGCCTCAGAGGGAACATAGTCTATTCAAAAAAGAAGAAACCAGAAAAGCAATTCTGGTAACATGACAAAGCAAGGTTCTTGATAACACTAGCTCACCAGCAATGAACCCAAACCAAGTAGAATCTCTGAATTGCCATAAAAAGAATTCTGAATCTTGAGTATTAAGCTGCTCAAGGAGACACCAGAGAAAGGTGAATACCAACTTAAAGAAATTTTTTAAAATGATATAGGACATGAATGGAAAAATCTCCAGAGAAATAGATAATATAAATATTATATAATTATTTATAATATAATAATTATTATATTATTATATAATTATTATATAAATTACAACTTCTGGAAAAGAGGAACACATTTAGAGAAACATAAAATGCACTGGAAAGTATCAACAATAGAATCAAACAAGTAAAAAAAAAAAAGAAAAAAAAAAAAAAGAACTTCAGAGATCAAAGATAAGGCATTTGAATATACGCAATCCTAAAAAGGTGAAAAAAAAAAGAATCAAATTTAAAGATAAAATGGGAGCCGGGCGCAGGAGCAGCCGGCGCGGCCGCCAGCGCGGTGTAGGGGGCAGGCGCGGATCCCGCCACCGCCGCGCGCTCGGCCCGCCGCCTCCCGCCGCCGCCGCCGCTTTCCGGGGCTGGAGCGCGCTGCCCGCCGCGGACACGATCCTGGCCTCAGGCCGGAGCAGACCCACCATGCCGAGGGAGCGCAGGGAGCGGGATGCGAAGGAGCGGGACACCATGAAGGAGGACGGCGGCGCGGAGTTCTCGGCTCGCTCCAGGAAGAGGAAGGCAAACGTGGCCGTTTTTTTGCAGGACCCAGGTGAAGACATGGCCAAAATCGACAGGACGGCGAGGGGCCAATGTGGGAGCCAGGCTTGGGACAATAACGCAGTCTGTGTGGACCCCTGCTCTCTAATCCCCACACCTGACAAAGAAGAAGATGAGCTGGTTTACCCAAACTCCATATGCAAGCCTCGGCATATCGCACCGTCCAGAGGTTCTCCACTGCCTGTACTGAGCTGGGCAAACAGAGAGGAAGTCTGGAAAATCATGTTAAACAAGGAAAAGACATACTTAAGGGACAAGCACTTTCTTGAGCAACACCCTCTTCTGCAGCCAAAAATGCGAGCAATTCTTCTGGATTGGTTAATGGAGGTGTGTGAAGTCTACAAGCTTCACAGGGAGACCTTTTACTTGGCACAAGATTTCTTTGACCGGTATATGGCGACACAAGAAAATGTCGTAAAAACTCTTTTCCAACTTATTGGGATTTCATCTTTATTTATAGCAGCCAAACTTGAGGAAATCTATCCTCCAAAGTTGCACCAGTTTGCGTATGTGACAGACGGAGCGTGTTCAGGAGATGAGATTCTTACCATGGAGTTAATGATTATGAAGGCCCTTAAGTGGCGTTTAAGTCTCCTGACTATTGTGTCCTGGCTGAATGTGTACATGCAGGTTGCATATCTAAATGACATCCGTGAGGTGCTACTGCCACAGTATCCCCAGCAAACCTTTATACAGATTGCAGAGCTGTTGGATCTCTGTGTCCTGGACGTCGACTGCCTCGAATTTCCTTACGGTATCCTCGCTGCTTCGGCCGTGTATCATTTCTCTTCATCTGAATTGATGGAAAAGGTTTCAGGATATGAATGGTGCGACATAGAGAACTGTGCCAAGTGGATGGTTCCATTTGCCATGGTTATAAGGGAGACAGGGACCTCAAAACTGAAGCACTTCAGGGGCGTCGCCGATGAAGACGCACACAACATACAGACCCACAGAGACAGCTTGGATTTGCTGGACAAAGCCCGAGCCAAGAAAGCCATGTTGTCTGAACAAAATAGGGCTTCTCCTCTCCCCAGCGGGCTTCTCACCCCTCCACAGAGCAGTAAGAAGTAGAGCAACGGGCCAGAAATGGCATGACACCCCAGCCTTCACCAAAGACAGTCACGCGGAATCGCCTGCCCCACGTTCTCTTCTGTCCTCTGCAGCGGAGGCGTGCGTTCGCTTTGACAGATACCTAAATGGGAGAGTGTTTTTTCCACAACAGATGTATTTCTATGGATGGCATCGGACAGGGCAAAATATTTTTTATTGAATGCTTATAGGTTTTTTTTAATAAGTGGGTCAAGTACACCAGCCACCTCCAGACACCAGTGCGTGCTCCCGATGCTGCTGTGGAAGGTGCTACTTGACCCGAGGGACTCAACGACAACAAAAGCTTGAAGCTGCGGAGGGCTGCCGTGGCGTGGCTCTCCCCCTGGGGTGCTCTGGGCTGCATGGTACCAAGTGGAGCAGGTGGTTGTGGGCAAGCGTCGTGCAGAGCCCACAGCCAGCTGAGCAGGGTGCTACCCTCTCCACACTATCAGTTGACAATGTTGTACAACGCCTTTAATGAACTCTGTTTTGTAACTGCTGCTATATGTATCCATTTTTTAATAAAGATAATACCGTCTTTGAAAAAAAAATAATAATAAAGATAAAATGAACAAAATCTCCAAGAAGTTTGGAATTACATTAAAGGACCAAACCTAAGGATAATTGGTATTCCCAAGGAAGATGAGAAATCTGAAAGTCTGGAAAATGTAGTTGATGGAATAGTTGAGGAAAATTTCACTGGCCTTGCTAGAGATCTAGACATTTAAATAAAGGAAGCTCAAAGAACACTCAAGAAATTCATTGCAGAAAGGTCACTGCATAGGCACCTAGTCACCAAGTTATCTAAAGTCAAGATGAAGGAAAGAATCTTAAGATCTGTGAGGCAAAAGCATTAGGTAATCTATAAAGGAAAACCTACCAGATTAACAGCAGACTTCTCAACAGAAACTCTACAAGCTAGAAGGCATTGGGGTGCTATCTTTAGCCTCCTTAAACCAAATCAAATTATCAGCCAAGAATTTTGTATCTAGTGAAGTAAAGTTTATAATTGAAGGAAAGATATAGTCTTTTTCAAGCAAACAAATGCTGAAAGAATTCACCACTCCCAAGGCAGCACTACAAGAACTGCTGAAAAGAGCTCTAAATCTTGAAACAAATCCTCAAAATACACCAAAAGAGAGCCTCCTTAAAGCATAAATCTCACAGGACCTATAAAACAATAACACAATAAAGACAAAGCAAAGTATTCAGGCAAAAACTAGCACAATAAATAGAATAGTACTTCACATCTCAATGCAAACATTGAACGTACATGGCCTAAATACTCCACTTAAAAGATACAGAATGGTAGAATGACTAATTCACAAACCAAATATCTGCTGTCTTCAAGAGACTCACTTAACATATAAGGACTCATAAAAACTTAAGATAAAGGGGTAGAAAAGGATATTCCATGCAAATAGACACCAAGGGTGGGCAGGATGGCTATTCCTATTTGAGACAAAACAAACTTTAAAGCAACAGAAGTTTGAAAAGAAGAAGATGTACATTATATAACGATAAAAGGACTAGTCCAACAGGAAAATATCACAGTCCTAAACATATATCCACCTAATACTGGAGATCCCAAATTTATAAAACAATTACTAATAGAACTAAAAATGAGATCAATAGCAACACAGTAATAATGAGGGACTTCAATACTCCCCTGACAGTCATCAAGACAGAATGTCAACAAAGAAACTAGACAGGTCATCAAAATATACAGTTAACAAAGAAACAATGGATTTAAACTATAATCTAGAACAAATGGTCTTAACAGATATTTACAGAACATTCCACCCAACAACAGTGGAATATACATTCTAGTCATCAGTACATGGAAATTTTCCCAAGACAGACCGTATGATAGGCCACAAAACAAACCTTGATAACTTTAGGAAAATTGAAATTATATCAAAGCCACAATGGAATAAAACTAAAAAAACAGCTTCAAAAGTAACCTTCAAAACAATGCAAATACATGGAAATTAAATAACCTGCTCCTGAATGATCATGAGGTCAACAATGAAATCAAGATGGAAATTAAAACATTCTTTGAGCTGAAAAATAATAGTGACACAACCTATCAAAACCTCTGGGATAAGCAAAAACAGTGCTAAGAGGAAATTTCATAGCATTAAATGCCTACATCAAAAAGTCTGAAAGAGCACAAATAGATAATCTAAAGGTCACACCACAAAGGAACTAGAGAAACAAGAACTAACCAAATCCAAGCCCAGCAGAAGAAAAGAAATAAAAAACATCAGAGCAGAACTAAATAAAATTGAAACAAAAAAGATAAATGAAACGAAAAGATGATTCTTTGCAAAGATAAAATTGATAGAGCATTCACAAGATTAACCAAGAAAATAGAAGATCCAAATAAGCTAAATTCAAAAAGAAATGGGAGATATTATGACAAATGCCACAAAAATACAAAAAACTATTTAAGGCTACTATGAACACCTTTATGCACACAAACTAGAAAACCTAGAAGAGATGGATATATTCCTGGAAACATGCAACCCTCCTAGATTAAACCAGGAAGAAACAGAACTCTCAACAGACCAATAGCAAGCAGCGAGACTGAAACAGTAATTGAAAAATTGCCAAGAAAAAAAGCTGAGGATTCACAGCTGAATTTTATTAGACATTAAAAGAAGAATTGGTACCAATACTATTGACATTATTCAAAACAAAACAAACAAACAAAAAAAAACAGAGAAAGAAGGAATGTGTCCTAAATCATACTATGAAGCCAGTTTCATTCTAATATCAAAACCAGGAAAGGATATAGCAAAACAGGAAAACTAGAGGCCAATATCCCTGATGAACATAGATGCAAAAATCCTCAACAAAATACTAGCTAACTTAATCCAACTGCATTATCAAAAAGCTAATCCATTATGTTGAAGTGGGTTTTATGCCAGGGAGACAGGGATAATTTAATTTATGCAAGTCAATAAATATGATACCCAAGGTAAGCAGAATTAAAAATAAAAATTACATGATTATCTCAATAGACACAAAGAAAGCATCTGACAAAATCCAGCATCACTTTATTATTAAAACCCCCAGCAAAATCAGCATAGAAGGGACATATCTTAAGGTAAGAAATGCCATCTATAACAGACTCACAGCCAACATTATACTGAATGGGGAAAAGTTGAAGGCATTCCCCCTGAGAACTGGAACAAGACAAGGATGCCCACTCTCACCACTTCAATTCAGCATACTGGAAATCCTAGCCAAAGCAAACAGGCAAGAGAAAGGAATAAAGGGCATCCAAATTGGTAAAGAGGAAGTCAGACTGCTGCCATTCATCAATAATATGATTGTATACTTAGAAAACCCTAATGACTAATCCAAAAAGCTCCTAGAACTGATAAATAAATTCAGTAAAGTTTCAGGATACAAAATCAACATAAACAAATCAGCAGCACTGCTCTACACCAACAGTGACCAAGCTGAGAACCAAATCAAGAACTGAACCCCTTCACCATGACTGCAAAAAGAAATAAAATACTCAGGAATATATCTAACCAAGGAGGTGAAAGACCTCTACAAGGAAAACTAGAAAACACTGCTGAAAGAAAATCATAGACAACACAAACAAATGTAAACACAACCCATGCTCATGGATGGGAAGAATGGATATTGTGAAAATGACCATACTCCCAGAAGCTATCTACAAATTCAATACAATTCCCATCAAAATACCATGATGGTATTTTTTGCTAGTTCTAGACAGAACTAGAAAAAATAATCCTAAAATTCATATGGAACCAAAAAAGAGCCCACAGAGCCAAAGCAAGACGAAGCAAAAATAACAAATCTGGAGGCATCACATTACCCAACTTCAAACTATACTATAAGACTGTAGTAACCAACATAGCATGGTACTAGTATAAAAAATAGGCATGTAGACCAATGGAACAAAATAGAGAACCCAGAAATAAAGCCAAATACTCATAATCAACTGATCTTCAACAAAACAAACAAAAACAAAAAATGGGGAAAGGATACCCTTTTCAACAAATGGTGCTGGGATAACTGGCAAGCCACATGTGGGAGAATGAAACTGGATCCTCATCTCTCACCTTACACAAAAATCAACTCAAAATGGATCAAAGACTTAAATCTAAGACCTAAAACTGTAAAAATTGTAGAAGATATCATCAGAGAAACCCTTCTAGATATTGGCTTAAGCATAGACTTCATGACCAAGAACCCAAAAGCACATGCAACAAAAACAAATAGATGGGAATTAATTAAACTAAAAAGCTTCAGTACAACAAAATAATCAGCAGAGTAAACTGACCATGCACAGAGTGAAAAAAAAATCTTCACAAACTATGCATCTGACAAAAGACTAATAAACAATTCTATTTAAGAAAAAACAAACAATTCTATCAACAAGTAGACTAAGGGCATGAATAGACAGTTCTAAAAAGAAGACCTATAAATGGCCAATAAACTTATTAAAAAATTCACAACATCACTGATGATCAGGGAAATGCAAATCAAAACCACAATGCAATACCCGCTCAGTCCAGTTAGAATGGCCATAATCAAAAAATCAAAAAATAATAGATGTTGGTGTGGATGTTGTGACAGGGAACACCTTTACATTGCTGATGGGAATGTAAACTAGTAAAACCACTATGGAAAACAGTGTAGAGATTCTCTAAAGGATTAAAAGTAGATCCACTATTTGATTCAGCAATCCCACTACTGGGTATCTACCAAGAGGAAAAGAAGTCACTATACAGAAAAGATATTTGCACATGCATGATAATAGTGGTACAATTCACAGTTGCAAAAATATAGAACCAGCTCAAATGCCCATCAACCAACCAGTGGATAAACAAAATGTGATATATATATACAAACTACATGAGATATATACTATACTACATATAAACTGTGTGTGTGTGTGTCTGTGTGTGGTATGTTTTATGGCTGAGTAGTATATATACATA